CGGTTTATTTACGATCTCTAATAGCAACTGTATCTAGTAAAATATCTAATGGAAATAATCTTTATAGTATTTATTTTTTCTTTATGGAATTCAAATATTTTTATCTTAAGGAGTCTCTCCTCCCCCCCTCATTAAAGTTTTGATTTATAATTATTAAATTTTACGTAAAATATTATAATGATTGTATAATAGCAAATATGCATCGAAGTAATCAAATTATATTTCATGTTTTATTAAATTTTAATGTAAAGTAAATCGTATGAAAAATTATGAACAATGAAGAAGTAAGAAATAAAGCAGAAGCTTTTTTTAAAGGAGAAAAGAAGACTGCCGATTATGATCGGTGGGAATAGAGGATGGTCTTCGTTGGCCCATTTTTATAGGCTAGAATTTTAGCTAAAATTGAAAGTGTAATTCAATTTAATTATAAAAATCTAGGCCGAGTTTGGTCAAAGTACATTTAGTTGCAACTGATATCCGGTAAAAGCGGAACAGTCTATATAAAAAGGTAAAAAATTCTGCAAGAACAGCTGTTTCATCGAGTTATTTGAATTTAACAGACCAGCTGAGAGAAAGAAAGAAGGAATGAAATGTTGCAGCTAATAATTCGAACGAAATTCTGAGGATATTTAGAGTATTATATTGTATTCTATAATATTTTCTTTAATCTTTATTAATTTTTGTAATATATAGTAATGTAATTGTTTTTCAGATACACGAAATTTTGAATCAATTAAAATTAATTTATTGATTGATCCAGTAGAAAAATTTTCGTAAAAATTTCGGAAATATTAAAAATTCTCGTTTATATACAATTTTACTAAATTAAATATATTAATATTAAATATGTAAATGAATTTATGCAATTTTTTAAGATACTAGAGAAAATATTCAGAGGATTATTTAAATTCATGATGAATAAGATGTTGCAATAATTGGCTTGCGCTGGATCTGCAGTGTAATTAATGAATGTGATATTTTAATGAAATCATGTTTTATGATCAAGAAAGAGTAATCTCAAAGAGTGTTAACTGCTCTGTTAGCCATTAGATTAAAGTTTTAATTACAGTAGCACAAAAACATACTATAAAAACGCCATTAAACGGTAAATGAACTAAAGGCTTTATGGTAACTTTTTCATTCTTGGAATCCTCCGCAGAGAGCGGCTTTGCTGGATAAAAATAAATGCTAAATCGATAGCAAATATGCATCGAAGAAAATCTTTTCTGTGCTAAACTATCTACCAAATCATTGAATGTACCATTGAATATACTTCGAATAATATTTATTAATGAACAACACCGTCATGAACAATTGAGTAATCAAGTGAATATATTTTCCTCCAACACTACATCTTTAAAAATTGTAATATCATTATTATCATATTTATTATAAATTTTCGAGAAATACAAAACACATTTACGATAACTAATCTAAATCATAAATTATTCATAACAAGATCGCGAAGAAACTTAAATCCCAGTTGAAATTATCGGTGAACAATTTTGTTCGTCTCCGAGTGTGTTCTGGCGTTAACGCACTTAAAACTTTGACTTGAATTATTTGGCGGAAAGATGTTGTCATCCTCTGGGACTCTATACTGACAAAATCAACGCATTTTCCTTGAGATAGAAGTTCAACAAAGTTGGAGAAGAAAGACTATTCGAATTTGTGTAAAATGATGTGATACTACGAGAATGTAAAAAAAATGTGCGCATCTGCCGATGTCGGACGCTTATTTTCCCATGCATACGCACGCGTGTATCCGTAATACCTATACGTACACGCGGCGCATCGATGGTCACGTTGCGTGCGCGATCCGCACTCTCCCTTAGTCTCAAGGTGGAAACGGGGGTTGCGCATGGCCGTGGGTGAAGAGAAATTTTCGCGAATCGATAATACGCGACCAGCTGTAGCAACGAATTAGCCACGCGGACGGTTTGCCCGTCACATCGTTGCTTGGTCCATCCACAAAGTAATCCCCGAAGCTACCCCCTAGTGCCACGTTTCCTCGCAACGCTTTTCGGCACACCACTCACGGCTGGAGTTCTTTACATAATTTATACAATTCATGTTATATCCTGGAAAAGACCAGTTCTAGACTCTCGAAATATACGTTTCTTTCAACATATCAATCATGATTCCAAAATCTATGAGTTTATGTTTTCCGATAGAGATAGATCAATAAATCATGATTTTGATGGCACGATACATCGTAACAAGAGGCCTGTTCTTTTTAGCTAAACTTTTGCATCAGTTCATCTTTCTTCCTCTTCTTTCTTCCTGGAAAGAAAAGGAAGAAAGATGAACTGGTGCAAAAGTTCAACTAAAAAGAACAGGCCTTATATGTGTACTTATATAACAGCCATGTCCAAAAATGAGATGTAAGACATTTTAAAAACGTCTAAAACATGTCTTTTTGTAAAAGGCGTCTTAAAATCGTTTAAAAGACATTTTTAGAAGGTCTTATGCCCCAATTTTAGACTTTGTGTTGTCTGGGGTAGATTGTAGGGAGAAAAGAAAAAAGGGAGGACGATGCCCTTTACAGAAATTTAATACTGGAAGGTGGTGATTAATTACTTATTTTGAGTATTAATATTGTTTAGTGTTTTAACTCAAAATAATTTTCAATATTAAATTGAATTTCTGTAGGGGTGGAGATGTTAAGTATGCGAATAGTTGAAGGGTCGGCATCGGGGTTGCTGCGATAGCGAACGTAGAGAGGATGACTCTCTTCGCCGGTCGGGGATGACGGGTGAAGTGGTCTAGAACGACAGAATTGGTAAAACAGCACGATCGCCTTTTGCCGTCGCGTGTGTACACGTCTCGAGGCAAGGTACAAAGCGAAGACGTGAACTTCGAGCGGCATTGTGCCGTCACGTGCACTCGTCATGCCCGCGGCTGCAAAGCGTTAGCTATTAGACCACCTTTCTTGACATACAGCCGGCGGTACCGTCAAGATAATGCACTGACCTCCGGTTCCTCCGAGATCATCTTGAAAGCCTGATTTGCAAGCTCCTACGATCTTCGTGACGATAAGTTCGATTTTAGATAGGAAATAATCCTGGAATTCGATCGGCTGTTGCAGCCCCTTCTTCAGTAGTTTCTTCATTTCGAGGATCTTTGGATTTCATTTTCGAAAATCCTCGCTTTCAATCCGCATTGTTTGATTTTTAGAAAAACTGTTTGTATTTTGTTTATAGACGCTATTAAATTCTCATTTTTACCCGTAATTTCTTGAGGCTTTATTTAGGCAATTTCGATTTCAAAGATTGACTCGATAAATTTTCTCTCATTTGATTGATTGTTCTGTTTGTATATACTGTAATTCAACACTTCATCTTTTAATTTATAGCTCTCGATTTATAAATTTCTCTTGAACTTGGTTCCATACATTCTGTTATTTGACGTATCGCATCTTATCGACTATCAGCAAGTATAGTTGCAATAAATATCTTCTGTATCTTAAGACTAAGATAAGTTACATAGTGCAAAAAAATATAAATACATTTTTATTACATTACATGTACATAATATTAAATGATAGTAAATATTTTTTATTTCGATTTGACGATTATTTAAAAAAATTGAAAATATCTTTCAGGCGTATTCTTTGTACATAATAATATCTTCCTGTTGTTATTTATAAATTTTTTTACATTTTGCCACATTTTCTTCATTCATAGTCGAGCTGTACGTTTAAACAACATTGTTTCTATTAATTTCGAAATTAAATTGCGTATGTAACTATACTATGAGCAACAGAATATTGTTTCTGATTCGATAAGCCCTCGCAATGATTTTCATTGATGCTCCATTCAAGTGTACTGTCAATTACAATCTTAAAATAAAAGAATAGAACCATTAATATATGTTAGTGTTATGCTGATGTCCTTCTGTATTTGATTTAAATTGAATATGATTGTCCCTTATTATAGAATCACATAACATTTCAATTGTTTATGTCGATAAGAAATGAAGTAAATACATCATTTGACAGTAGCGAAATTTACATGTAATTCTTGACAGATCTTATTATATACAGCCCACTTCATATATATATATAAGTACTAGTCTACTTTTTATATAAAACAGTACAGTTAGTTCACATAATATACTCTGGATAACAATATATTTTTCGTAAAACTTAACGCGGTTAAAGATTCAATTTCATCAACTTAGTGTTTAAAGTTGACGGTTCACAGTGTCCTATGTCCTGCATTGAAAGGAATCTGCATATTTTTGGTCTCTTGACTGTATAGTATTAGTAGGTAATATTTATATGTACAAACCCGATGTCGGCAACAAAGTTATGTTCGTCATTTTACAATATCATCAGCACTGATCAATACAATAGTACTGATCACTTACTATTAAATCATTATTAAACTTAGTAAACTTATCTAAGCATGTATATATATATATTACATCATATTTAAATTTTGAATAATGATAATATGCAATTTCGATTAAATTCAATCAAATACAAAAATTAAATTAGGCCACAAAAATTTCTAAGCTAATACACAAAATAATATTTTGTTAAATGAAATTAGAAAATTTGTAGTCTTACCTAAATATATATTTAACTGAAAATAATTTCAATCAAGGATTAGTCAAGGAGCAATAATGAATAGTTCTTGAAAATAAAAAAAAACAAATCGGATAATTATACATTAATATATACATTTTTTCATTATACATGAGTTTTCGTACGTGAATCAAATTTAAAATATCTCTCAAAAGATGTTTGCAATCGCATATAAAATACTAAAAATTATTAATCTCTGCACAATACGTCACTGTCGCAAAAGAAAGAAAACGATAATATTATTACGTAATTCATCAAATACATATTAGATAAATTAGTGCGAAAGAATATTTGCCATAAAGCAAAGTTAAAATATCATTATTTAGAAAGAAAAAGATAATAATTTTTATATATATATTAAAAATACTATCTAATTTCAGATTATTTATATATATATATTCATCTTCATCGTATATAGCTTTATGCCGTGCACACCATAATATTAACGTATCTTTCACGGAAAAAAGAAAATTTTAGCAAGATACGAACAACTCATAATGTATAATGATAGTCACAGCTGTGTCAGGCCATTACGTAATAACATCGTTTCTGTTGGAATTACTGGCCGTCACCGACGCATTATCTGAAGTCTCTACATAATAGTCAGAATTCGAGATCACGGAATTTACCACGATCCCGCGTCGTGTCGGTGCGATTTGAATAGGTGTTGAAAATGATTGAGCGTCCGCGTATAAACTCACCGTATGAGGATTGGTACTACTAGTCGAATGTTCCAATTCCTGTGATTCGCCTATAGATCGAACAAAATACGTCATGAACATTTTTCATAGCAATATTATATGCCAGATAGTAAGTAATTAGTCTTACCGTTTATACTATGAGTATCAGATACCATAAAAACGGTAACACTGGATGGTTCACCGGCACTAGTACTAACGCCATCCTCGGTAGTAACGTAAGACTGCTCAGAATCGGAGCTATTATCACTAGAATTACTACTGTCGTGTCTAGCTTGTGATCTCCTAGCTCTGTTAAAAGGATTTTCCCTTTGCCGTGTGAATGTGCCTCCTTGTGTACCTAAAAGAATTTCTTTGAGTTTTGCAACAAATCCGTATTATTTATTGATCGTAAAAGAAAATAATCATGTACCTTGATGGCCGTCGCGAATAAGAGGTGCTGTATCATCGTCTGAGTCACTCTCATCGGTCACAACTTGCTCGTCAGCTGCAAAAACCTTCCTTTTGCAAACAGGACAGACCCTTCGATTTTTTGTTAACCAAGGGTCAATGCATTTTGAATGATAAGCTGAAATTAATAAACAAATAGGTAGTAGTAGTTTAATATTTAAGATGTCTGAAGAAAATTCTGGTTGAAAGAATAAAATATCGTTGTAATGGAGATGTCGAGTAATTTGTTAGAGAAACGTACCATGTGCACATGGTAAAACTCGTAATTTCTCTCCTTCTACATAATCATCCAAACAAATAGCACACGTCTCGTACGGATCACCCTTTGTATACTTGTGTATAGGAATCTTTTTTAAACTAGAATTAGGCAGCCTGTGCCTCCGTTGTCGCCTTCTGTCCTTTATGCATCTGACGATCTATAGTACATACGGTATTAAAGTCGGTAAGATAATATGCGCACGCGGAATTTTATCATCGCATTTACGACTCACCATAAAAATAACTATAATTAGGAAACATATTCCAACAACAATAGCGAAAGGCAAGAGCAAATGGGTATTAATATTGAATGGCAGATCATCATTAATTACTACAAAATAACCGTGATTGTATAAATAATTGTCTTTGATAACAAATCCCGTAATTTCACCAACAAACACGGATGGTATCAAAATTCCTACGGGATCCTTTGCTGACATCGGTTCTAAAATAAGATAATCATCTCTTTGCTATGTATTCATTGAAATAGACAATGTTTTAGTGTTACTATGTGTCATTAATATGTGGGTAGTTTACCTAGTTCATTGCTGTTTACATTGTGAATAATAGCAGCATCATATCCAGCTTCCTGTGCCATTCGAATTTTAATTTCAAAGCTACAATTATAACGTCGTATTAACGCTATCCAATTACCAGTGGTATTATTGTTTGGCGGAGGCTGTATCTTATGGCACGCAGTAGGAGGATCGGCATAAACCACCAAGCCCTAGTAAAATTGTATAACATAAAATTATAGAGACACAAAATGTGTATTGTTTATTTGCTACAATAACGACATAACTAAAAAGCTATGATTTTTTAGTTACTTACAAAAAAGGTAAAGGTAAAGAAAAAAGGAAAAATATACTTTAAAGATACATTTTATTCTTCTATATAGTTATTACATCAATTATTTCAAAATTAAAATTATTCCGAACATCAGCTTTGTTTTTTATTGCTGCACTAGACTGCGCTAGAACTTTCTTATCCGCTTTTGCCAAATATCAAACATGCCTATTTTACTTTAAGTATAGAAAGTGTATATTAGTTCAGCTATACAAAACAGACCTATTCGAACTCATTTTCTGAAAAACTTCGTTGTTTACCTAAGTCATTGTTGTAGCAAATAAGCGATATATATATATATAATTCATTATACAAGATGTCTAGTGATATATGGTTATTATTCGGGGATATTACGGAATTAATTCAAGGATAATTCCGGAACATTCTAAATAAAAATTCTTATTTTTCTAGGTCAATTAATTTTCATTAGTTAATTAATTTGTATTGACTCGTACAATATATGTTTTGAATTATATATGTTTTGTATTCAAGTTAAGATTCTATATGACAAATGAATTAAAATGTAAATAAATTTGGAACAATATTATTTATTGGTTTATAAATAATATCTAACGAATATTCAATAATAACGATAATTTTTCTACTATATTCTATTTTGTAGATACTAATCCTATATATAACTATAATTGTAGATATTAAATCCAAGTTTTCTATTGGTAACTTGCCGTATTGAATCTTTAAGGAAGAGCTTACACTCAAATACAACTTTTCTTTTTATTAACGTATCCAAGCATCATATTATTAAAATTATTAATTTATTAGCGCTTCGTCAAATACTTAGATTTCGTAATCTCAAAATTGCTTTGTATCTTTTCCATTTACAATCATCCTATCATAAATAACATAAAGAATGATAAAAATTCCAGATCAGTCTTGAAATTCCAGGAGTTTTCTAGGATATATTAAATTCCAGGATAATTCTCCGGGATTCAAGGACATTCAAGGAACACCCTGCTACAATAAATTATACACATATATAATTTATTATAAAAAAAATTCAACAACATACCTTGATGCCTTCCGGAGATATTATACCCCCAAACTTGGCAGGCATATCGCGAAACTCCTCTTCAATCTGTCTTCCAATTGAAGAAAACACTAAAATATCCGCACTGCTGTATGCAGCGAAAAAAATCAGGAAGATAAGCCATAACAGGACTTGGTGTTTCAAACAGCACTGGCGCATTTTGAAATCGGTCTAAACATCCACCTTTTCATCAAGTTCAGTATTTCCCCAAGATCTCGTTCAAATGGTTCATTCTACAGTTCCTAGGTTTATTTTGCTGTTATTATGAAGAGTGACATCCAATACAGACAGAAAGTACATCTTAAAAAGCACAGCCGGGCTGCTCTGGAAAAAGTAAATATTACATTCCTTCTTATTGTTCCTTATTCCAAAATTACATTCTGTTGCTCAAATATATTCACGAAGTAGATCTCTAGCTCTTAGATATTGATCCTACAACAGACACGATATCCATATTCTAAACGAAGTGATTTACAATACACGCCCAATCTAAACAAAGTAAACAAATATGACGTGCGCGGCCAGTAGAGTACTAACTAAACGATTCCACAAATCGCGCTAGGCATATAATAATCTCCTAAGAAATCGTTCCAAAATCTCCGAGACAAAGCCAACTTTGTTGTCCACGATTTGTAAGTGGATCTCCGCGCAGCTACCTCTGCGGTCCATGCGGTGGAGGGGAAAAAAAATCCTCGTCGACGAGGAGCACGGAGGAAACACCTGACGTCAACGGAAACGGTCGTTTATTCCGCGAAACGAATTCAAGTTGACGATTCTTGCTCGAAGACAAAGGAAACAACACGATAACGTCGAACGAGTCGCGTGCGTCGACGTGCGTCAGAAACGGGTCAACGGGCTAGCTCGATTTTGGAGCTGATCGTAGATAACCAATCTCGACGATGACGTCGCGGGGGAGCGGCATGAAAGATACGTACTTACTCCGAAGTCAATCGCGGGTATCTCATCCGCATGCGACCATTAGTCACTCGACGTCGTGAACGTTCCTCGATCGACAATTGACGAGGACAGTTCCTCGGGATAGAGGGGGGAGGGATCCTCTCCTCTCCACTGTCTTCCTTTTCCTCCTTTCTCGAATAATATTCTTACGCGTCCAGGATTAACGCTTCTCGGATTCTTCCTGGATCGTTCCTGATCGCACGCGATCGCTCGGGTGACCGGACGACGAGAGAGACGGGCGCGTCACGAGCGTGAACGTCGCTTTCGAGGTTAGCTGCGTCTCATTCTTCGATCAGTCTTTCCGTGAACGTCGGACGACGGAAGGGACGGCGACGACGCGAACGGACTACGGTGGGGCGGACGATCGACGCGGCGTCGATCGATCGGATCGGTGTCACTCGCCGTACAAAGAAATTAGCTAATATAGTCAACTACAATCATCAAATGAGATGAGTCGTCACTTGTCAGTCAGTTGGATTTGCACTAGTCGTATACAGTGCGTGTGATACCGCGGCCAATCGCGTGCGTGCGTGGGCGAGAGACGGCCTCGGCACGCAATTCTTTTAGTTTGGCTTTGTAGCCAATCTTCTGGACTTTTCGTTTTTTCGTCCTCTCAAAAAAGAGAAATATATAATATTGAATGACATGTTTTATACAACGAAATATCTAATCATAATAATATTATAATTTTTATTCTAATAATTATATAATTATTGTATGTAACAGATATTATATAAATTATATTATTATAGAATCTCTAATTATTATATTATTATATAATAATATCTTATATTTATTTTAGCTGATTATATAATCTGATTACACACATAATTTTTATTGGGTTGAACAATGCGGTAGTGTTGACTCATTTTATGACTTAAGTGGTAAGTACATTCCAATTGTTTGCAATTTGTTTATATTTGATTTATTCTTGAAGCTACAAACTATTTTTATTAATTTTAATGTATTGATTAACGTTTTAATGAAACAGAAGATGAAATAGATAAATAAATAAAGAGTTTAATTTACTGTTTAATCAGCGATTAAGCAAACTTGTTCAAGTGATTATCAAATTTATTCAAGAAATTCCTGATAGTAAGATTTAAAAACTACAGAAAAAAATATCTCTATTTTCAATAACAAACTACACATTTATTTTATCTTTTGTTTCATTAAAACAATAATTACTATTCCATTGTGTTCAATCAAATAAAAATTATATACTACTGACTAACGTTGACAAATAAAACGCCAGGGAAAAGAAACAGTGAGACAACTTTAATCAAAACATATTTTATTTTTGTGTGTACAAATTCAAAGATTTACATAAATTCTTGACAGAAAACAATAAACGATCATCGAATGATATAAACCTGATAATTGTTCGATTCGTATCTCGTGTCATGAGAAAGTGTGTTGGCAGATCCACAAACATCAGTAAACTAATGAAGTTTAAGATCCTTCAGATCCTTGGATTACCACAATTGTTTCAATTGTCTTAAGATGTTGCTTCAGGTCCACCAAAGTATAGAACCACCTTTGGGAACATGTGAAATCAGTATGATGTATCTTCTATTCTCCACAGTACAAGTGTGACAATGTAGTTTTACTTGCACTTACTACATCCACGCTGTTATGTACCTCCTATAAAGATACGTATCAACAGTGCCAAATGTCGCACTATATACAGTGACGGATTAAGCATTTTGCCGCTCCTAAGCACCAACATCTAGCCGCCCCCAGGTGGCTTCATTAATTTATAAATTTGATAAGAGGGAAAATGGATTTAAAAAAATGATTTATACCCTTGCATTAGCTGTTAAAAATTCAACAATCCTTAATAAATATCGTTTCTGATAACATATTCTCATACAAGAACGTTAGATTTAACAAAAATTAAAAATTTATCTATTGTTTTAAAAAAGCCGCTTTTTTCAAATTGCTGGAAAAAATTTCGGTTTTTTTCCAAAAAATCTTTTTGGAAAAATTACTGTTTTTGCTATGTAAAAGACATAATAAGTAACTTCTAAAGCATTATTTTTATTAAAATTTTTTAGTTATCTCTTTCTATTTTTATACTAACATCTAATCTAACCTTTCTTTAGTATATGGCAAAGCTTAAGTAGACAGATTTTTAACTCTAGTTTGCCACACTCTGATCTAATAAACTCCTGAAGTGTCTCTTTGTAGTTTATTTTTTTTCCAATATTTTGTTACGAATTCAGTTTAAATCCAAATTATTTTCTAGACCTACTATTATCATATAAACATGTTTGGACTCTATATTTTTAATTCTTATATTAATGGTGCAATAGTGTATGTTTTATTGAATACATTATGCGACCTCAATCCTTTATATAATTTCAAAATTTCTATTAACTTATCCCGCTGTGTACCCTATACGCAATTATTTTCTTTACGGAAAGAACCGAGAAGCAAACGTGATAGGTTTTACGAACTCGCGCAAATTTTTCCAAAATGAATTTTTCTACCCTTGGGAAAAAAACCGAAAAAATCCGTGGAAAAAAAGAAAAAATTTATAATTAAAAAATTTTTTTCCAATCCTTTAAAATTATAAATTTATCTCAACTGTGTGAAAAATTTGCCACCCTAGGCAAGTGTCTTGTTTGCCTAAGCGTTAATCCGTCACTGACTATATATTTTGTACTGTTTCACTTATAGAAAATAACGACGAACAAACAACGAGCGGCGTATCTATTTTATACGAGCAGAAATGTACCGTACAATCGTTATTATTGCGACATGTGCATCACTGTCGTTTTCTTTTTTTACGATGCATCACATGCAGAACATTATATACATTACGAATTACAATATTTATAAAATCTTCGTTCGATTGTAATTTATGCAAGTTCGTTGCAAGTCGCACATTACGAAATACGATATGCAGGACACACGACTGGAAAAGTTTTATCTAAAACACATTCGATTTGTAGCCGCAGTACAAAAAGAAAGTAATAACAATCCGCGGTACAATTTACGATACATTCGTTTCGGAAAAAGCTGAAGAACTGAGATTAAAATCGAAATAAAATTTGACGAAAGTTAGTTGACTCCAACAGCAAAACGTCGTTTTTATAAAAAATGTGTTGTAAAAAATGACGATCAGAAAGACACGAATATAACGAAGCTGACGTGCGTATTCTGTTAAAACATTTATGTAAAATTGTCAGTCAAGATGGCGAAAATTCAGTTAATTCAAGGCACCGTTAAACAACGTTCGATATCTGCCAATTTCCTCATGTATTTAATGTAGGGCTCGCTATTATACGTTTAAACGAAAATACGTTTACACGTATAATTAGTATATCCGTTTAATAGAAACGTTTTTCCGAATATACGTGTAATTAATTATCATATGTTTAAACGAAAACACGTTTACACGTATAATTAGCATATCCGTTTATCCCTTTATTAAGGAGTGTGACGAATTGAGAAAATGCAAAAAATTCGATTTTTAATTTTATTAAAAAACGTTAAAATATTCGAAAAAATGTTTTTCATAGATGGATATATTAAATATACATGTAAATGTATTTTCGTTTAAATGTATAATAAAACACGTATATTCGGAAAAATGTTTCTTTTATAAACGGATATGCTAATTAAACGTATAAACGTTTACCTTCAAGTAAATGTTTTTTTGAAAGCGAATATAAACGGATAAACGTTTTACGTTTACACGGAATAAAATTAAAGCCCTAATTTAATGTAGAATGTAAGCTTCATTAACAATTATTTACAATTACCGTAATTTTATCCCCGTAAGAATTCAAACCCGTTTTGTCTATGCGAGAATCTATTGCCGCGAGCCACTGTACTTTCATCAATAGTCTTTCTTTCTACCTGATCAAATCGATCAACTTGCGAATCAATGTATTTAATACAGAATATAATTCCCTTTACAATTTGAAATTATTTACAGTTACTATAATTTTATCCCCATAAAAACTCGAACCCGTTAAATTTGCCCACGTGAGAACCTATCGTCGAGCAACTGCGCTTTCATCAGAATAGTCTTCTTTTGTGCTTGATCAAATCGATTGACTTGCAAATCGATATCTCTATCAAATGGCCTTCTCGTTGATATTCCAGTCCTTCTTGCTTCCTTTTCCTCTTTCTAAAAAATAAAATGTATATAGTACACTACAGTGCAAGTATGCGAATGTATAGATTTAATTAATTTGATAACTTGAAGATAGTAACTTAAAAAGATAAATAAAGTTACCTTTTTTTTCTTGGCAATTTTGCTTTGGTGCATTTCTAGTAACGATTTCTCATGTTTTCTGCTTTTATCTACTTCCTTGTGATATTCATTTACATGTTTTTTCTCTGATTCTTTGAATCTTTTTGCTTCCTAAAAAGTATACCACGAGCATAACATTAGTACAGTAAAACTTCGTTTATCTACACTCCATTTATACGAGTTTGTACTCAGTTCCATTATACAAACTATAGCTCTTATTATCCGAATACCGTAATTCGAATAATAGAAGTTCAACGTGATCGACTTTAATTTTCTGAATGTCGGCTCTTATATTATAATTAACTAATAAATATTAATAAAAAGGAGAGCTAATGAGCCTCTATTATCCGAATTATTTGGTTATCAGAATTTTCTTATTCCCTAACGAACAATTCGGATAAACGGAGTTCTACTGTACACATATAAAATTCTAAAACCTTCATGGTAACACAAATAGAATGCCTCACATTTGTAGTTTAAAACAGAAATGCACATAGTAACATATTTCTTATATTTACCAAGTCCATCTGCTTCCGAGCTTTTTGTGCTGGTGTATCAGTCCAACTTGATCTATCCGACATATCTGGACCATCTCGAAGCCTGAATTTGCGCGGGCCTAATCCAAGATTAGTAGCTTGAGCGGGTGGTAACTCGGTCATCCATTCCTCATGTTTATTTCCAATATCCATCTGAAATATAAATACTTTTTTTCTCGTTGATGAAACTAATAATCTCCAATAGCAATTTATTCGGGTACTGGAAAGTTGTCTTATACTAAATATCCGGATTTATTTCTCTATTATTCTGTGTATAAGAAATTTTATAATACACATAATGAGAGCAAGAATAAAAACTGAAATCTTTCCCAGGATAATTAGGTAATAAAAAAAAATGAAAATACGGACATCTAAAAAAGAAAAAAATTTTCTTTACCTCTTCCGAATATTTTTCATTCCTAATTCTTTGTGCTCTTAAATCTAATTGCTCGTGTACGCGGCTAGTTCTCAGAGCTGGATGATCCACAGGTAGAGGACCTATTGCAGAATCATCATCGGATTTCGGAGATGCGATCAAACCTTCCTCACGCGATTTCAGAACGTCAGGTAGCATAGGGCCGATAATTCTATCCAGCGAATCTTTCTCTCGTTGTCGTTGTAACAAATGTGGTGGCAGTGCTGGCCCGAAAACAGCATCCGCTGCATCTTCTTGCTCTATGCTTTGACGATCGTTTAACTGAGGTAGCAAACGAGATCCAATAAAATTCATATTTTTTTCATCGACCTCGTCGTTAATTTTATCTTCGTCGAGAATATTTATCTCGGAATCAAGTTTATTACCGTCGGACGCATTAAATGCGAATCTTGGTGGTAAAAGCGGACCGTACGTGGATCCGGCTTGATCTAGATTCTTTTCGAATAATCGTGTCTCGTCCAAAGAAGCATTAGAGCGCAAATATCTCTCTCTCGAGTTCGAACGTTCGACATTACTATCACAAATAAGCATTCTTTCCTCTTCACGATACTCAGACTTTTCTCTCTCAGAGTCCATACGAGCCTCTCTCGTCGTGTGCGATGCGGAGTTGAGTAAGGAATCTGAAACGGCACTAGGATTATTATTACTGGAACTAGATGCCGGATCATAACTCCTTTTTTTTACCTTTAATTCCTCCCGCCGTTTTCTCGTGCTGGCTTCGTCGTCGTTCTTTCGCTTAGCATAACTTTCCGACCGGATTTCGGAATCGTGTCTTTTCAGCTTGATCTTACGCGAGTGTGGAGACGACGTTCGGCTCTCGGAATCCCGACTGTCGGACATGTTCTCATCGGTCTCCGATAGAACGTCGAATTGCGACAGATCCAAATCCTTGCAGTCTTGAGCCTCTATCGACGAATCCTTCTTAGTATTCTCGCTCGAGCGAGTCTCACTGTGACTGCGCTCTCGCTCGGTGTTCTTAGGCGAGGAATAGTCCCTTGAATTTTGTGACCTGTTCTCCTTCGATAGCTTCCTGGAAGAGTCGTGCCTCCCGTGATCCTCTCGAGACCGATAATCGTCATTCGAGGACTTGACTCTACTGGACTGATGAGATCTATCTCGACTCCTGTCGCGAGAACGATGCTTGTGCCTTTCGTGATATCGACCTCGGTGCTTATCGCTCGATGTTCGCTCGTCGTGATGGTTCCTCTCGTACGAATGTTCCCGCGAGCGTTGCATCCGGTGGACACTTCGATCCCTGTCCGATTGCCGTTTCGAATCACGCGATCTCTCCCTCGCGTCACCTCCGTTGGAATTTCTGGAGCCTCTGTCGTTCGTGGCGAATCCAGACCTGTTTTCCCTGTGGTCTTTGTGCGAATTTTTACTATCTTCCTGCTTCAAGTTCCTCAACTCATGCTTCGAATGCTTTGTAGAGTGTCTGAGATCCTTGTCATCCGTTTTGCTCTCGTATTTGGATCGTTCCTTCCTGTCTCGATAGCTCTCGCTATGGGATGATTTATGTTTCTTAGGCATCTTTGTTCGGTCCGTAGTATCCACAGTCGCGACCGAATCCTTGCGCGTAGCTTCGAAACGAAATCGCCGTCCGTCATCGCTATCTTGACTCTCAGAATCGGAATCCATCGCTGTCATAGTCTAGTTACATGCTGAAAGTAACAAGATCATTGTAAGTTAACTCTTTAATGATGTGTATATATAAAGTGTATATATAAAGTGGGTATTTTCCAGCAAAGACACAGACACGATGTAACACAATGAATCATTATATCCGTTGTTTGCCTACATTAAACAAGGATGAAACGATTCACTGTATTACAGTGTTTGACTGTCCTTGCTGAAAAACGTCTATTATAATATAATTTATGTGTGTAATATATACAGAGATTCCCATTTTTATTGCTCTAGGCAAATATCTTGAAAAAAATATAGTGGAAAAAAATACGTAAGATACGAAAAAATGCTTATTTAAAAAAATATACCTTTTTTTTACCTATATATTTTTTTAAACAACTATTTGTTTTCTTTATACCAATTGATTCATCTCGTTATTCTATTCATAAAAGTACGATTACCAAAAAATTTATAGTTTACAAGATGTTTAATATTTCATGTAAATATGTGCCAGAATAAGATATAAAAATATCTCGTAAAAACTATCGGTTTTTTTATATCTCTATCTTAATACTTTTATATGCAGAATAATTAGAAATCATATAATTCCGTTTCAAAAAGTGAAGGTGATCTTCATATGTTTTTGGCGTTTCCACTTAGAAAAAAAAACAATGTGATCAAAATATCTGAAACATTTTTTCGTATCTTACATATTTTTCAAGATATTTGCAATTAAAATGGAATACTCTGTACAATACGTGTGTAATGTACGACTATATGTAAAAGATATCTTGGATTATCGTGATATGTAATATGTAATTTTGATAAAGTTTCAATTCATCTCAATGGAACAATTATTTCGAAGAAAAAAAAGCTTTCTATTTACGAGCGTATACCACAAATTGAAGGTATCAAATAATACCTACAAATAAAATATTACATTGTTGAGTGTAACTAGTCATCATTTTATTTGTGATACAGGCTTCGTATAAGAATTTACAAATATAATAATGTATATATCAATATATCAACATATATATCAAGATTGAATTAGCTTTATCTAAAAGAATAGTGGTAACTACTCGACGCGTTTCTCAGCATTCTTAGGCTTTGTCTTCTTTACAACAGTCTCAACAATTTTATTGATTTTATTCGGATCGGGCTTAGGTAACGGATTGGATTGTAACATCTTAATTATCTTGGAGCCGCTGTACTTAACGGATTTTACAAGCCCTGCGGTTACGATTCCTTTTAGACTTTGCGTCACGCTAGACCTCCAAACGATCTCTTTCAAACATTGATCCAACAAATCGCAACATTCCGGATCGTGTGCGATTGCACGCAAGCAATCTTCCGTGTCTTTCGATCTTGGCCCATGAGACCACATCCTGACTAGTTTAATCTGGGGTGTTCTGGGTAAATGATTCAAATGGTGGATTCTAGTTGCCGGGCTGGTGTCCTGATTACACATGACAGCCATGTCATGTGACTTTGGAATATCTACGTAATTGTCAAAATGTTTCAAGATCGGTTCGTACAACTGCTTGAAATGATGCAATTGTGGCAACACAATGTTGCTAATCTTATCTTTATTTTCACCGAAAATCATTCGAAAATCGCCTTGATAGGATAAACTGGTGATCCTTTTGAAAAAGTCAATCTCCGTAAAATGCTCAGGCAGCAACAACAGAGCTGCATGCACAGCCGAATGTAAATTCTGCACCAGTGCAGTACGCAGTTGAGAATTCTCGTCCGGTTCCATCAATACCTTAACCGGTTTATGCAATCTCCCAGCTAAGTACAGGTCGTTCCAGTCTAACAAATCTTCCACCAATGAAACCTCGGATATCACGCCGTACTTAATGAGCTGATCTTCACCTGTTCTTATCAATGTGTTGTAAAATATTTTAGCGCCCCATCCTTCTTGGATGTTAGTGATCGCTTTAGGGCCGAGATATCTTAATGGTTGAGCGTAGTGCTTAGGATTTTTTGCTAAATTCTCTGCGTGCCATTTGTTAGCATTGCGTACAACAAATATGAGATCCAACATGTTATTGCTATCGTTGTTAATTTGTTTGAACGCACCTGATCCATAAGCAAAACAAAATTTCATATTCCCAGGAAACTCCTGAAGTAAATACTTCAGTTGGGGCATTCTGACGATTTTATCCATTTTTCTGGATTATCCGAAGCTCCAATACGACAGGTACTTTCCAAGGTGCGCGTTAACAATACCTATAATTTTAGGGAGCCTCTTACATCGTCCTGCCTAATTTTAATGAAGAATTCGCTAAAGGATACGCTCTATGATCACGACGCAGCCAACATTACAGTTCGCACCATGAGGGTTGACGTTTCACGCCGTGGCGATCATCCGAGATTCGAGGACGAAACGTCGAAGGTGACAGACAATTATCGAGTTGTAATGTCTCTCGTCCTAAGTGCCAACGATACGTGCCTGAGAGATTGCCAAACCGCGCGCTTTCCCAACACATTCGTCCATCTAACCTAGAAACGCAACTCATAAATAGTTCGCTTTCGAGTTTACTTACTCATTGAAGGGGTAGGACTGTTCCTTTCCCGGAAAGGGACTAACCGAGACGGTTCCTGCCGAGGAGAGAACCAGCTCGGGTCGATTTCAATTCGATTCGATCTTTTCGCGATATCAAAACGAATATGTACACCCGCGTGAATACCAGACTCACGTTCACGTATATTCTGCGTATATACGAAACGATCGTAGCTTAAACTCTCGTATTCGTGGCGACGAGATGTCGCGGTTTCCCGTCACGATCGGATATGACGCGAGAATCTCACTTGCTAAAACGCAAATAGAAAGAACTTGCCATTATACATAAACTCGAGAGTTCCGTGACGAAGCGAATCGTTCCCCTTTGCCCTTTAAACGTGATACGCCGCGATCCGGGAACTCGGCAACACCGCAGCAAAATGTAGGTTACGTAGGTCGCTGCACGAAGTCTGTTCGCGTTGTTTGTTCAATGCTTAGAATTTCTATCAGATTTTTTTTTTATCGGAAGATCTTTTGGGGGTACAAAAAGTTTAGGAGAATTTTCGGATGACTTTTGGAAAGGAAAATACAAAGAAGCCCAAATTACAGCTAAAATGTATTGAAAAAATCGCAATATAAGGGATAATTTTCGAACAGACTTGACACTAGGTGTGTTCTTGAGCATATTATAATGTATATTATATGTAAAATTTTATATGTAAATATTATAAAGGCTGCGGTCCAGAACCTTGCTTTAAGAGGCCGTAAGCTATAACCCCGGATCTACAATAGAGTTTTAAGTCTTAAGCTATAAAAAATGGACGAATCTTAGTCGATTATTCTCCTCGAATTCGACTGTGATTGGTCAATTTCTTACGACTTAAGGTTTAGAACACCTATTGTAGATCCGGGGTAAAGCCGCAAGAAGTTGACCAATCACAATTGAGTATGGGAAAAATAATCGACTGTGGTTGGTTAATTTCTTACGGCTTTATGGCTTAAGACCTCTTATGCGTGGTCTACAATGGGCAGTAGCAGTAGTGGATTAAGAAGTTGGCGTAGAAATTAACCAATCATAATCGAATGTGAGGAGAATAATCAACCATGATTGATCGATTTCTACGCCTACTTCTTAATCCATTACTGCTACTGCCCATTGTAGACCACGCATTAGGGCCCTGGCACACAAAAAACTGAAGGCAGTAAGACGTAAGCAGTAAGGAAATCAACATGTTGGATTCGCTACTGCATATATTACGGCCTTATGGACTCTACTGTGATTGGTCAATTCGCTTACTGCTTACATTTTACTGCTTAAG